TTGTTCATCTGAAACAGCAACAGGAGCTTGTTCATCTGAAACAACATCAGAAGCTTGTTCATCTGAAACAACACCAGCAATCTATTAATCTGAAACAACACCAGGAGCTTCTAATCTGAAACAACACCAGGAGTTTGTTCATCTGAAACAACACCAGGAGCTCCTGCTGTAATTCCCACCACAATCAGGATTACTTCACTGCAAACAGAGATGTGTCAAGATCCTCCAAATTCTTTACTAAGGACTAGCTGAGGAATGAGTGGAACAAGTTAAAGCAGAGCCTCAGGACTGAAAAAAGGAGGTCATTAGAACCCAGCAGGGAAAAATGGCTATACACATACTCCTCAGACTGCATAATCAGAATAAAAATAAGTGAAAATTAAAAATAATCTACCCAAGACTCAGTAAAAAAAAATTAAAGTTCCTTTTGCTGAAGTTGTTGGATAGAATTTGTGCTTACAGAAGATGTACTTCATGTAACAAAAATTAAGATATTTACTTTATCAAGAAGCTAATTTTGGAAGAGATGAAGAAGGCGTGGAAAATCCTGCAGAAATCCTAGAGATAAACTTATCCCTTTTTGTGGAAAAGAAAAACAAGAGAAAGCAAAGTTAAACATTACAAAAGTCTGTCTAGAATGCTTAAAATCAGACCAATGCCCAATTGTTCAGTCTAAAAATGGAATATTTGCTGACAGTCTCCCTTTCTTTAAGCATAGTTTCCTATAGGCAGATGAACAGCACTACTGAACAGATGTAATTGCTAATCCCATTCCCAATAAATTCAGAAGCCACTGGCCTATTTTGAGCATTTATACATATGTAGAACTCTCTGAGGATGCTAATCTTCCTACAAATTTAAAGAAAATAAATTGCTAAGTGGAGGAAAAAAAATATTTCTTAACCATATGCTGAGCTTTCATTTAGCTCCTGTATCTTTTGAGATACCATTATCAACCTGCCAAGAGACACATTTGCATATGAAGTAGGGGTTTTTTTAGTTCTGGTATCTAGGAGCTGTTATATATTTACAATTTATGAACATTCCTATTATCTGTATAGACTGTCTAGTGCTTTTTTGAATCTCTCCAACCAGCAAGTTACAGATGAAGTCTTGTGGCAAAGAACTACAATCAGAAATCAGGCACTGATGAAAATTTTAAGGCAAGGAACTGCCATCTGCCACACACATCTATTCTTATATTGTAGGGCAGCCTGAATACCTGGCTCAGCATCTGTAAAATGAAGTTTTTACATACTCTTCTGCACTGACCTTCCTCAGTACTAGATTATGCAAGCCTCTATGAAATTTTTTCATTGCCCTTTATCTCTACAGTTTGTGTTCTTCCTAAACAGAGAAGGATTAAATACAACATGACAGGTGAAAGCATTTTTTTGTTGAAACACAAAATGATTCCTTTCCTAATCTCAAATTCATTTCTTTACATATTCTGGCATATAGTCATTAACTGAGGGTTTCAGTGACCCATCCAAAGTGATGCACTGATCTTTTTCCCCCTGAATGTCTCTGAATCCCTCAATATGTCTGTAGACATAAAATTTAAATAACACTTTATAGGAAAACAAACAAGTAACTGAGTTGTAATTTGCTGACAGGTACAATAAGAATAGTTTATTGAAATGCTGCCACTCATCTTATTAGATTACTCAGAATCCTTTTAGCCATTCCCTATATATAGTAATTTTTTATCTTCTATAAGTTTTGAACTTCATTAATTAGCAATGTACCAATGATCTGAAAAATGCTTGAAGCAGTAATTTTTTTGTCCAGCGTAGCATTCTCACTTTAACCTTCATTCATGACCAGAAGTCACCTTTCCTAATATATTTTTTAATTTATTTGCTATAACAGTATTTGGTCTTTCACTAAAGCTGTATTTCCATAAAGACTTGTTTCTGATGGGCTTCAGGAGCTGACATAAATCTCAGTTGGTCCACCATTACTCAACATTTAAAATGTTCAGATTTTCTTTATGTCTTTTCTATTCCAAGTAGCTAGAACTGGTTTTTTTTCATCTTTTCAAGTAGTTTAAAGACAGTAGAATTAGGACTTATGAACGTGGATCTCATTGCAGATCATAAGTTACTTGTCAGGAAAGAACCATGGAAGAATGTTACCAATATTACCATTAACCAAGTATTCTCTATTCTGAAATTGCAGCTTATTTTTTTTTTAAGCAACTCTGTAACTGTGCAAGTTAACTGGAATTATTATAACACAAACACATGAAGAATTCTAATTCTTCAAAACAGCACTGCTTAATCAGTTTCTACAAAAGAGAATGAAGCATTATGGGGTGGCTGTCAAAGAGAATTAATCCAAGCCTGCCCAACAGAAACAACATTAACATATTTTCTTCTTGTTTTGACATTTATTTAATGGCTGGTTGCATGCCTACAAATTCCTTCCCAAGGACTGATTTTCATTTTCTTTAAATACCACAACACAGGTGAACTTTTGCAAAACTACATCATTTGACACCAGATAAAAGCAATCTTCCTTTGAACTTAGAAACAATCTAGGAACATACTCAGAAGAAAATTTCAACCCTTCTGAGTTAAAATTCAGCATAATGTTTCTTTGGAAATTGGAGTGAGCAGATTTCTTTGTGAATTGGCAGCAACAGATTCTCAAGCAGCAGGAAAGGTCTGACCTGTGTTGTAACTAACACCATGCAATGTTTGGTGCTCCCAACAAGGAGAGGCAGTCAAGAGAAAGAGCTGTGTATTAGGTTTACAACATGGTCTGTCAGACTTCAAAACTATGGCAACATAAGATTTATTTTAAGAGCATGAGCCTCCACAGCTCTTATTCTTACACCACTGCTCTGCAGGTATCAGAAAAACAAACATGTTTTGTACACTATCCAGCTAATATTTGTACTATCAGACTAGCTGGTAAGGTAAAGTATCATATTTGATAGTTTAGCTAAATTTGCATAACTCAGTCAATTTCTTAAGATGCTTTGCCATGAAATGTATGGAAAACTTGATTCATACATGTTCAAGGAAAACACTTAAAACTCACTGTAGCCAGAAGGATCTCTGAAGGAAGTGCCAGACAGCTGAGGGGGAATCAAAGGAGTGTCAGCAGGAGCTATGGGCCAACCTCTGCAGCACATTCTGATGGAGCTGGAGACTCTTCTACCAATGGTATCTACAGACATGGCTCAGTGGTGGACTTGGCAGAGACAGGTTTATGGTTGAACTCTATGATCTTAAGGCTCTTTCCTGACCCAAATGGCTCTATGATTCTATGACCTCTCCTTTTTGTTGTAAAGTTTCATCCTATCAGGTTTCACAGGTCCTTACCTTTGTCTTGATTTGCTTGGGTGTATCAGTGAGGAAGATGGAGGAGTTTGGGTCACTAGCACTCATTTTGGTCTGTGCTCCTTGTAGGGCTGGGAAGAAGACTGAGTGGAGTAAGGCTGGTTTAGGCTGTCCAATTCTTGGTGCTACATCACGGGTCATTCTAAAATAAGGATCCTAAAACAACCAATAAAAGCACAGAATAAAGCTGAAAAATGTGATTTGAAATCAATTCTGATTGATGCTGACTCATTCATACCATAAGAAGTGATGTCAAAAAACCAAAACCTGAAAAAAGCAAATAATGAAATATTCCAGAACCTACTTTCAATCCAGTTCATTCAGAACACCAACAAACAAAATCCCCTTTTTTTTCCTTTTTCATAGTGCTGTAAACTCTGATTCCCTTAAGTAATAGGCATATTTACAAAATTTTACATTAATTCAAATAGTTGCTAAAACTATGCTTAATACGCCTGGAGATGGATGAAAGATGAAAGCTTTCTCCCAAAGCATTTTAACAACCAGCAGAGAATCTGAACTAAATCAGCAAGCAAGCTGGCAGTGCTGTGCTGATGATATGACTTAAAACCAAAGTGAAATTCTATTTCATAATATTGTGGCTGATTAATTTGATTACATCATCTTCCAGCATCTGTCCCTGTGACTAAAATAGCTAAAGATTCAGACAGTGCAGGATGTGATTCCTAGAAATACAACTTATTTAAGGACAAGACCCTATTGCTCTCATTTGAATCTGATGTTCTTTCAGTTCTCTAAATCTGAATTGTTAAGGTTCTGCAGCCTTTCTGGCAAACTATTTCAGTGCTTCTTTATTCTTACTGAGAGAGGGTTTTTCCCCCATGGTACAACAGAAAACTCTTGTGCTGCAAGTTGAGCTCATTCCATCTTGTCCAAGTTACCATGGAGATGGCCAAAAGTTTCTTCCTACCCCCATGTCAGTGTGCTTTTGCATAGATGTTACAGTCCTTGCTTTCCTACATGTCAGCTCAGTGTGAATGGAGCTGAGATCAAGAGAGATCCAAGACTGGATGAATACACGATTGTTGGGTTAAGCCTTCATCTTTTCATCTTTTAGGTCTTTCAGTTTCTACCCCAGAAAGGTGTCTGCAGGAATGTTTTACAGATGCCTTGAGACACCACCACCAAGCCTGAATGGAACAATACAAAACCAAATCCATGAAAACCAAACTAAGCAATATGATTTTCTTACCTGGTCAATAGCACATGGGATAAGACACTGAATATTCTCTTTGCCATTGAATATCTGTGGAAATGATGAACTGAAGGATGGAGCAGCTTGGATAGCAGGAAAGCTGATCTTACCTAGAAAACATGTTTGGAAAAGCTAAGCAATCAACAGAAGCAGTGATAAATAGAGAGAATTTTTTGCAGGCTGTAAAATGCACAAGTGAATTATCCAAATACTTAGTTGAAGACCAAGCTCTATCTTTATCAAGCTCTGCCGCCTTATCTGAGGAAACCTTTTCACCTTTATCTTCTGCAATGTCAACAAACCTTCAACTGACATAGAAAAGGCAAGCTGTGACCACACTGACTTCAGCAAAAGTTCATCACTGCATACTCTCTTGATCATTGAACTATCTGCCCTTTCCAGAAACAGAATTGACTAAGCTTTCCATTTTTTTTCACTTTGTGAGAGAATTGCTACAGTCATCACATAAGCTTCCCTCTAAGATCTTAAATCACTGCTTTAATCACTCTGTACTCATGGAGCATCTCAGATATGCCCACTTTTCTTTTTTATACAGGGCTTAATCCCAGTGTGGCCAACCTGGAGCTTATCAAAATCCTATCAGAATACACAGCAAGTGCTGGACTTTTACACACACATGTGATGAAATCATAATCACAATACCATCTTTTATCAGAGCACTGCTAAAACATGTGGAAACCTGTTCCTTGGTTACAGTGAAGGCTGAAAGTTGTCACTGGCCTAATTACTGGATGAAGAATGATGATCCAGGATTTAATGTGATTTTTACACAGAATCTTTTCTCTTGGCCAGGTGACAGAAACTGCAATTGCAGTGAAGTAAATGGGAGACTTGAGTTACCCAGAACCTTGATAATTTAGGCTATTTAGCACCCAACTTTTTTCATATATGTAAGGGCCTACGTGTATTAATGCAACCTTTTCTGACAAGTTTCTTCATAAGTATGGCATAGAACTTTCTAGGGGGTAAGATTGCCTATAGCTCCAATCATTGTGACAAAAGAATAAAAAAGAAAATAAAAGAAAAATTCGTTCTCTGTTTTGGACTCCTTAACATTTGTGTTTTGTACTTTGCTCTTACTAAAGTCAAAAAGGTGGAAGTTATGCTAGAAATTTCATTGTAAAGCATGTTCTATTCTGAAGCAACAACAATAACATCAGAATCTGCCTAGAAACATAATCCTCCTGCTTTTTCGCCTGTTTCATGAGTGGCACACTAATCTCTTTAAACTCTTACTTAAAATAGCTCAACTGAAAGTGAAAGCAAGCACTGTTTCTTGTAACTCGTACAATTTCCTACCAATGCAATCACTGTCTGTAAAGCCAAAGATTCCTTTCACTTGGTTAAATGTGACATGCTTCTGAACTTTGACAATGTTTCTGTAGAATCCAGCACTTGTCCTGTGAGAAAAAAAAAAAGTGGAAAAATAAAATAAGAAGAGGAGGAGAGTGTATGTACAAACTTTGACTGCAAAAGCAGAGAACATCAAAAAAACCTGCAGGATTAAGTCTCAGTTTCAGACTTTTTGTGGCCCATTGAGATGATAATTAGAGAATCATTTACAAACAGGAATTTTATGCCTTGAAAGTTTAATTTATTCTTCCCTTCCCCCAGTAATTACTACAAAGATTCTTTAAACTTCACTCACTGCTGTATTATTAAAATAATTGACCACAACAAGTTGCTGCAATGCCTTCTATTAAAGCCAATAAAATGTAAACACATCTGAGAGATTTTGATACCATCTTAAGCAAATCAATCAGGAATTTTCTTGGTGGTTTAGGTATGTTTACATTTCAGCTGGTTTAATATATTTTTCACAATTTACACATTGCACACACAAGTATTTGTTCATATGTTATACAGGAGAATGACAATAATATATATAAAATGTTAGACAGCAGAAAAAATATGTTTCCATTTCAAGTCTTACAAAATTTGTCCCAAAGCTTTCAAATTTAGACATGCTTTTAAGTGTAGTCAAAGTTAGAGAGAAAATACAGAGAAAACAAACACTTTTTTCATTATACTGCTCAAAAGAAATTCCTACTTACCCTAAATAGTCTAAATCTGAAAATATAAAGGTTTTATTGACATCAAAACCACATGCAATGATGTCTTTTGCATTTTCTTTAGCATATTCATATGCCTTCTCAATTGTCATATCCTTCCAGAGGTATTTCTCATCATCAGTTAACTGTATTACCAAGGGAACATCAAATACTTCTTGAAGCCACCTAAAAGAAGCAGACATATTTTATCCTAAATGAAGCTAAAATGAAGATGTAAATCATGCAGCTAAAATATTTTTACATATTTAAACAGTATGTGGAGAGGTCTGCTCTTTTCTTTGTATGTTTATATTTATGTGAACAGATACAATGTTCTATACAGATGATAATGACAACTTAACTGGAAAAAGCTTCCTGTATGTTTCCCGTACACATGACAGAGCTCACCAGTTACAAAGGAACCAGAATTCACCTTTCTGAGCCCAATGTCTCTGTCCTGCTGCTGCAAGCAGCACCTTACAGAGTAATGTTACTGAGTCTTGTAAGGAGCTGGTTTTTAGGAACAGCAGAAATTCTGAGGAGTGCCACATGGCTAAGAGAGTAAGGAAAAGGGCTTTATGGTGATGCAGGGATTGCGATCATTTCAGTGAAAAGGTACGACTGAATAAAGTTCATTAATATTTACATAATCAGATCTCCTTGCAATGTATCATTCTGGCAGTTTCACAAGCCATATTTAATGTTTCTTTTGAAAAAAAAAATGCTTTGATGAATACAACTGGTAGAAACAGCTTACTTTGTGAACAAAAATGGGATGAGATGACCAACGTGCATTGCCTGAGAGGATGGCCCTCTGCCTGTGTAAAGGTAAAAGGGCTTCTTGTTTTCATAAGCATCAAGTATTTGGTCCATATCTCTAGAGAAAAAACAAAGAAAACAAGATACAACTCTTTAGCAAGAAATATCTACAGTAAAATACCTTTGTTAAAAATCTGAGTGTTTTTAAAGCCAAAAGTATTTATAAATAAATTACAGTATGTTAAAGGCCCTAGAAATAATAAAGTTCTTGTTTAAGAAAAGCCTGGTCTCCTTCAGTCTTCATGGGAGGAAAAAAACTCAAAGAAAAATTAAATCAAAAGTGAAAATTTAATGTTGAAATTGTGCAGCTTTTAAAATTACTTCACTGGATAATAATCTCTAGAGCCCAGCAAAACAGGGACAGGTTCTCAAACAGGTTCAACCAAGCAGCTTAGCTGACCTCTGGTGGAGGCCATTTGCTCTCAGCCATGCTCAGGCCCTTCTGTGAAGCCTGCTGGTGCCCACAAGCCCCTGTGTGCTAACATTAACCTGTGAAGGTCACTGGCAGGCTCGTGCTTAGGATTATTCCCTGAGCCCTTTCTGTACCACAAACAGATGCATGGGAGCCCTGCTGACACCAGCAGTGGCACCTGCAGTTCTCTGCCTCTGGCTGCTGACAGAGAGACAAAATGAGCCTGCACTCTGAGCACATTTCTGCAGTTTGGGGTTCCTGAGGACACAGCACAAACCCACGCAATCAAGAGTTTCGAGTGTTGCCAGGGGAAATCTGCAAGAGTTGCTAATTTCAAATGGCACAGTAGGTTTGCCTTGGCATGAAAGCACATGGTTTTTGCTAGTTACAGGCCTCTCCCAATAATTCTTGCAGGAAGTCTGCCCAAGAGGACCTTTTGAAGTTTAATAAAAGAAAAACTCACCTGTGGGAAAAAAAGATTCCTCTCCGTAGAAAGTGGTGAGGTTTTTGCCCAATGGCTCTTTCTATTCGATTTATCAGATCTGTGTCAATTTTACTGCTGCCAAACCGAACTACAATCATAAAATGTTAAAAAAAAATTCAAATGAGCACAGCATAGCTACAACCAAATCTTGGAATACCAAGAACATACCAATGCAGGCTAGATTAAAAAAAGACATCTTCAAGTCAAATAGTCAATTTTCCTGATTCTAGCCTGAAGACCCAGCAGTCACCTCCAGCATTATCTCCATGCTAGGAGGCTCAGCTCACTCAAACTTGCAGTATTTCTCCATCCACAAATTACTGTAATTGCAGCCTCCTTACAGCAGTAGCATTGATATTCCAAGCATTGCTATTCCAAGCAAAACACAAGAAACACATTCAGATCACCAACTTGGCCTAAGCCATACAATAAAAATGCTTTAGAGGCTCTGAATGTTTCTCTTTTGATGTCCAAATTTTCTGCTATCAGACAACATCTTTTGCTTTCACTCAAATGACATCACCAACCCCAAATACTCTTCTGCAAACTTAATTCTTCTTTAATATGTATATGATTACAGACACTGCTCCCCTCAAGAGGCTTGAAAAGGAAATGCATAATGCTCTTCATGGCAATCAGTAAGTCTTATGAGTTGGTGGTTTAGGAAAGGCTGTGATAGAGTAAAATAGCAGTATTTTCCATATTCCCAGTAATTTTGGGATTTTAACAATCAGGCCAATGCTCTATAATTTAAATTTGTTTGAAAAAAAATCTGTGCAATAATCTACTGTTTGCTACTATTTTGCTCTATTCAATACTAGAATTATTCAGCATTGCACTAATGAAATGCAAAATGCATCACAAAATGGCAAATGATAATCTGAAAGAATGCTGAAAAGAGACCAAATGAGCATGAAAATGATTCAGCACATCAACAGCAACTGCTAAGAGGCTAATCTGACATCAACAGAAAACATGAAAATGCCCTGGATTAACTGGGACCGGCTACCCTAGAAATATTTGTGTACTGTCATAGCAAGTGATTAGAAAAGCTCTCTGGGGTATAGAACATTTCACTGGAAATGTCGAAAAAGCTTTATTAAACATTCACAGGCTGCACAACTCCCTTTTCTTTGCCCATGTTCACCTTTTCTGTTAAAAGATGGATCATTTTTCCCTACCTCTTTCCTCTTATTTGAGTGCTCAGAACATCTTAGGCTGTCTGCTCACAAAGAATCTGCCTTTCTAAACAGCTTCTGACAAAGTCTCTGCTCCTAAACAAGCTTTAAAAAAAATTCCTAATGTGCTTTTTATCTCAGGTGTTCTAGCTTTTACCAAAATACAGCTTTCAACTCACTGTGCAGAAGTCCTGAGAACCGCCATTTTCAAAAGCATATTTGCATTTGTTGAAATTCATTGTGTACTTTTCCTCTTTGCCACTGCCCTGTTATAACTACATAGAGAAATGTATACCCTAATATTTGTCACACAGTAACTCTGGTGACCAGGCCAGTCTCAATGATCTCAGAACAGCCATGACTACAGGGAGAGGCTGCTGGAGGCTGGAAAAATGCAAATGCCAATCCTACCTTAAAGAAGGGCTAGAAGAAGGAATTGTGGAATTGAGGTGGACAGGCCAGCCTACCTCACCTCAATCTGGGGGCATGTGCTGCAGCAAATAATCCTGGAAATCATTCCCAATCATTAAATATCTAGGGATGTTTGCATCTAGCACTTAGCTGACAGAACCCCTCTTCCCAGAATATCTTCAGGCTGGTTTTTTTTGTGCTACCATACATTTATAATTGCACATCTGGGACAAGCGTTTGAGAAGAAGACCTCTTTCAATTCACACATTGCTTTCATTTTTTTTGTGTTTGATTATACATAAGCACAGTGGCAACTTTCTCAGGTTCCACAAGTAACAGAATGTAGGTGGCACAAAAATTTCCCTTAGGGTAGGAGCTATCCAATGTAACAACACCTTTAATTGTTATTTTTAAAAAGAAAAGGAAAAGAAGGAAGCTTATCAATAACAACCAGCTACTGCTTCACATCCTGAAGTGCCTAGGCTAGCATTCTCTGAAACATTTCCAACACAGCACTTAGAACAAGCAAAATGACTCATTTATCAAATTCACTAATCTGACAGTAGTGCAAAGAAGTAAAAACCTTTTAGGTTAACCCACACTCTGAGGAAGATGAAAGGTCTTATGTACACAGTTACAAGAAAAAAAGGGCATGAACTGATTTATGGTAAATAGTTTTTAGGAAGATCCTGAGATTGTGCCATCACAATTGTGCAATTGTTCCTTTTCTAAAAAGGCTCAGGACCCCTCCTTCCAAGAAAAAACCCAAATTACTTCTCTGTAACTCTTATGCAAGTAACAAGATCTTTTCCACTTCCAGATTCTAAAAAATATTTTTTTTCCTTCTCTCAACCTGACCTATATTTTTCTTTGCACACTTCTCCCTTTCCCATTTTCTCTTTCTCCTGTTACCTCCTGCAGACTCAGCCAATGTGTGCATACATTTGACACAATCTCTCAGTAACATCACAAAGAATTAAAATAATGCTGACACAAGCAACTGTCCCCAAAGCAGATACAATTACTGCAACATAAGGGTGTATGCTCTACTGTGAGCAAAAACTACTAAGCAGACCTCAGCAATGTACAACTGAGGTACTAAACAAGAATTGAAGATTGACGATAATAAAAAAGGAAAAATAGAGAAATTAATATTTCATTATAGAAGTTTCTATGCTTGACTCAAACAAGTTATTAAAACAGCAAACTGTAAAACCAATAAGGAAATTACCTAGACCTCTGTTTCTTTAACTACAAAACTTTGCAAGTTTTGTAATAACCCCATCTGAAACACTTTCCATTACACTGCATGTTTTTGAATGAGCTGCAACTCCTTCACTGCAGCCAGCCCTTGGCTGCCTGTAAGTGTGCCTTCTGAAGAAACCATTAGACTGAACAGATTTCTGCATTACCCTTGGATCATTCCTGCCCTCTCCAATCTATAGGTGATGTGAGGAGTGGGTAGGAGGAATCCTTCAGGCTGCTGAAAATGCTCTTCTGCATTCCAGCCACTGAATACTCAGTCAGTGTCTTCACTAGTGTAATTTCTAATAACAATCCTTACACCAAAAAACAAACCACACCAAAACTTGGATTTTGAACTTAAAGCTTCCTGGCCAAGTATTTAAATCTTTCACAGGAAATCTCCACCTGGGACATTTTCATCTCTTACAGCAAATTCTTTAGACATGGAAATGCTAAGATTAGACATAAATTAAATGTTACCTATGATGTTCTGATCTGGATTTGTTATGATGCCTTGCTGTTTCTGTGGTCATTAGGATCACTTTACATAAATTCCTTAGTAGCAGTGAAGGAAGAGTTATACCTATGAGCTTGTCATAATCCACGCCTTTAGCATTTGATGTCTGCACATTCCAGGGATCCACTAAATCCTCATCCTCTTCTTTAGTTGTACCATTGTTTATTAATAGAAGATCTTTTGGAGGCAAGCCTGCCTGATAATCTTGTCCTGTTGTTGTTTTATATGACAGTTTTAATGATAAGAGCATCCTCACTGCTGCATCAATCTCATCCTGAATAAAGGAAAAAACCCAAACAATTGTTTGCCTTAATATACTTAAAATAGAAAGTTACATTAATGACCCAACCTTTCAAAATCCCACATCCATGCTTTGATCTGAATTGCATCATTAATAAACCCTAAACTCTGTTTTATTTACATGCTTTCAGCATCAATGTCAAGTGTAGAAGAAAAGCAAATACTTATTCATTAGAATATAAATCATCACCATTACCAAGATATTTAAAGCAGCTCTGTCTTGCTTTTCAATTTCTGCCTAGGAAAAAAAAAGCTTGCTTGCCTTTCAGAGGTATAACAAGCTTAGCACTTTTACCATAAATTTCTAAAGGTATAAAAATAATATATAAATTATTATCTAATTTACTTTACAATGGCTCACCTTAAAACAATTTATTCATTACAATTCATTGACAGACTGGAAGAACACTAGAACAAGAAGTTATGGTTATGACCTCTCTAATGTAAAGCTATTGTAAAATCTCACGCAAGCAATAAATAGAACAACACTTTATTTGACTCCCAGTTTTCAAGGCCTTCTCCCACAGGCAACACATTAAGAGAGCTCATTTTAAAACTGAGCTCTTCTTGCCAAAATAGTGATGACACAATAGGGAACCTGAAATTAATGGCAAATTACTAAATTATTCAAGGGAGATTAAGAAGGAACTGTCAGTGCAGTTATAGGAAGACATATTTGATAATGTCTACAATAATGCCTGGAGAAAATTTTCACGAACCATCTAAATCCAGAGAATGCAAGTGGCATAAATTTACTTGAGAAATAAATGCCTTGGATCCTATCACATGGTATGGCAACTGGATGAAGCAGATTTCCAAGCCTAGGACTCTGTTCTTACTTCAAGAGTAAAAACTTCAGTCTTGCCAGTGACTACCTGGCTCCAGGTATGCCACAGTTCACAGAATGGACATGAACAGTTTTCAACAAGGGTTTTCCACATCACAATGCAAAACAGATCTTAGAATGATAAAATTCTTCACCACTCAAAGACATACCTAAACTGAAAAAAATGGGTTCAAAACATGAAATGCAAATACCTTTGGTGCTTTTCCTGCTTTCAGTGCTCTGACTTTTTCTCCTTGTTCAGTCACTCTTTCAAACAGCTGAAGTGGACTCAGAGACTTCAAATCACAGTTGGGGCTGTCAGTCATTTTGCCAGACTGCACAAAGATCTGTTTAGGTACAACTCAACTGAATTTATCCTCTTCCAGGTCTTTGGCTTGGAGATTCAAAACAGCAGCAACAAACAGAACTGCAGGGCAAACAGTAGTATGTTTTACTCTTCAGTGTAAGTCTTCAAGATTAGGTGAACAGAGTAAGAAAATAAAAACTATACTGATCCCTACCATATTCTAGTCATATCAAATTGATAAATGTGGAGACATGACACAGTGAGCTTCAGTTTCACACAAAAATGGACAGACTGACAAGAGTACCAGGTAAATTTAGACATCAGTGTTCATGTTGTCTGTCTATGTATTTAACACTAGAACACCTTTTCCAAGTCAAATTCCTGGCAAAAGAGAAATAATTAAATACAGGTATATACAATTCAGAGCACCTCAGAACAACTGGCAGAGGATATCTGATTCCTGATTAGTTAATGTTCCTGCACTGATACCCTGGCAAATCTGGGATGATGAGATGTTCATAACTACAACATGGAATTTTTTTTTAGCATTTGTAATAGAGTGTTTCTGCCCAAAGAAAGAGACACAAGAGCAAAGCTTAGTCATCTGTATGGCTTTCCTCCACAAGTCACAAAACACATTGATCATTGGTGAGAAATGTTGCTTTCCAAGGAATCCTTGGGTCAGCAATAGGCTGAAAATGTGCCTGTGTTTCTCAGAACTATGCAGGAAAAATAACAGGAGATGGCTACAGATGAGGAGATGGCTGAGACTAAGAACACAGCAGTGTGCTCAAGCACGCTCTGCCATGCTGTGCCCATGGAAAAAACTCCTGACCTGCAAAGGTTTTGTCTCTCTGGAGAGACCCCCCCAGCAAATTCCTGATCCACTGCAGTGCATGGAGCACAGGCTGATTGAGGGTTGGCAAAAATACATGTTCTTTTGGCTCCCTTTTCCCAGAATTAAAGCAAACAAAAAATCCAAGCAAAACAAAACCAACTAATATAACAGCTGCATTAGCTGTACAGCAGTACTTCAAAGCCTTCCTTTTACAAAACAATCAGTCTAATCACAACCTTGGCTATATGTACACAGTGCTTATTTAAGCTGCTACTGTAAAAAGCTTTCACCTGCCCAGCAAGCTTTGAAGGTCGATTTGGTAACCAGGTGGTTACCAAAACACAGCTATCATTAGGGCTTTGTTCGCCAGTCAGCTGCACTATTCCCACATTTCAGCTGCAGTAGAATATCCTGAGAAAGTAACTGAGAAGTGGATACATCCACTTGTTAATGTAATTTGTTTACTCTATTAACCTTTGGATTACTATACTTAGATTACAAAATAATACTTAAGCTTTTAACCTATTTTGATCCCTTATAACTTGACTTCTTGCAGTTTGAAAGTGTGACTAAAAAAAAAGTAATTTGAAGCAGATCAAACAATTTTTGATACATTCCTGCAATTTAATAACATATTTTTATTTAGATATTGCCTTCCTCTTCTTCAGGAGCAGAGAATATTTTAAGTGTTAAAGAAAGTACAGAATAAATACATATTAGAAAATGTTTATGAAGATAAACACACACCCTTTCTTTAGGAGCACGTCATTTATATTTATAGACTTCAGATTTCACAAAGTAATAAAAGTATAAATACGAAATATAATACAATAAATATAATTAATATAATACAATAATTTTCTTCGGTGTAGAACAATTTGTGACTCATTGCTTTAACTTAATTCCTTACAGAACAGTCTTACTGATGGATTGCCCCCATTCAGAAAGGCTGAAGTGACAGCTGACACTTGGCACATGTACTGGAAAGCAGCAAACCAGACCCCTTAAAATGTATGGAATATTACAGATTTAAGCTGAAAAGAGAATCTCAAATGAAGGTGCATCTTCATTAAGAAGTAGCAAAAATAGTGGTGCAACAAGACATGAGGATATAGTGACTATAAAATGCAAAACTTATGGACTGCTGCCTACAGGTTATCTCTATTTACCTCAGCACTGCCCCTATTTCCTAGTGGAATCCAAGCCAGGAATTAAGTGATGAGGAACACAGGTCTTTACCTTTTGAAATACAATAATGCAATTGTGAACCACTAAAAAAAAAAAAAAAGTCTGGATATTCTACTATTTATCAGGATTTTTTTTCTTGCTTTCTTATTGATATTATAAAAATTAACATTCCCAGATAGATTACATACCATAGGCAAACAGATCTGAAGGAAAAAAAAAAGATGGGAATTGGAGAATAAGCTATTAGGCTATTTAAGACCAGAGTACAGAATGAGCCAGTGTGAACTTGAGAGCCAAGATATGTGTGCTTTTTCTACTCATGAAATGCAGGGAACTTATAATGGGTACTGCTCCTGTGACCATTTCAAAATATTAAATTGCTATGAGACAAAGCTCAAAAATAATCCTTGGCAAAGGTATCAGAAAACTACTGCATCTTCCTCCCTTTCCAACTGGCTGACCATCACAGGTCTATCATCATTTTCACTGTCTGCAGTCTGATTTGGTAATTTAAAGACCTGAGAATGAAAAAAAACAGGGTTTCACACTAAGTTATGAAGACAAACATTGCATGGAAGTACATTATGACTTTCAGAGATAACAGACCAGAACTAGCTCTCATGAGCAAATGAAAGAATGTGAGACTAAGTCTAAAAGCACTTACATTCCTGAAAACTGTTTTTCCTCCTGTAAAACAAATCAAAACAAAAAAAGAAAAGTAAAATTAAAGTAGGTAGAAAATAAGAACTGGGCATCCAGACATATCATGGGAAACAGGCCTTGAGAGGCACTCCAACAGAGCTGCCCTTTATAGCAGACCTACCTTCCCAGTCACGGCACACTTCAGTTTACGCACGGAATTACAATAAAAGACTGCAAGACGATTCCCGAGATGACAGATAACATGACCATTCAAAGAATGAGGAGTGACCAGCACATGAATCTTGGCTGTACTGCAGCTGAATCAGAGCAAAGCTCCCGTGCAAGGACCGGCCGTGCCCAGAATTACTGCCCACAATGACTCCTCATCCCTGGCTCCCCGAGCCCGGCGCCTGCAGCTCCTGCCCCGCCCTGCCCGGGCAGGGCCACCGGCCAGCTCTGCCCTTCGGTGCGTTCTGCAGTGCCCGGGCCACCCGCGCTGCCCTCCCCAGGGACAAGGGCAATTCCACCTGGCCCTGCGGCGAGGCGGCCCCGCAGGGAACGGGGGCGAAGCCTCGAGTGCATCACCCAAGGGAAGGAGAGAACGTGCCCGGCACAGCCCCTCCACACACCGCTCACGGGGACGGCAGTGACCACCCAGCCAGCCCCTGTCCCGCCCGCCGGGGTCTCTCCCCGAGTGCCTCCCCGAGTGCCCATCCCGGTGCCCATCCCATCCCGGCCGTCCCGGCGCTCCTCACCCGCCGCTCCTCTGTCACCACCATTGCATCACCCCAGCCGGCACGGCCGGTGCGCCTCCCGGCTGGGAAACACAACCCTCCCGGAACCATCGCCTCACACGGTCCTCCCTCCTGCTGCAGTCCCCAGCCCAAGGGAGCGCTCTCCATTCCGCTCGCAGGGCAGACGAGGAGCTTCTTCCCGCTCCAGGGGCCGCGGTCTGACCCTGCCCTTCCCAACACGCGGCCCCAGCGCGGGGCCTGCGGCACACGGAACTGTTTGAGTGCGGTGCCGTGTTTTCGGCCGGCGCGTGTTTAGAAGCGGCGCAGCGGCGGCCGGCAGGTGAGTTCCGGGCGCGCTGCCGGGAGCGCAGGTACCGCGGGGGTGGCACCGGGAACCGAGACCGGGAACGGGAATCGAGACAAGGAACCGAGACCGGGAATCGGAACCGGGAATCGGAACCGGGAATCGGGATCGGAACGGGGCCGGGGGGTGTTGTCCCGGCATCACGCGTGGCCTCGGCGCCCAGGGCTCTGGGGAAAGGCGAAGGCTCTGCGGGAGAGGGAAGGAGCGTTGTGTTTTCTCAGTTGCCGCGGCCCTCCCGGGACCCCCTTCCTCGGGTGGGGCTGGACAGGGCCGGGTGTTCGCAGCAGCGTTAGGGCTGGAAGGGCTCTCTGGAGGTTTTCCAGGCAGGGTCACCCAGAGCGGGTTACACAGTAATAACGCACCAGTGTGGGTGCTGGATGTCTCCGGACTGGGAGACCCACGCCCGCACTGGGCAGCGTGTCCCAGTGCTCTGCCACCCTCCGTGAAAAGAAATGATTTCTCGGCTTGGGGTGTAACTTCTGTGTTTTAGTTTCTGGCCATTGTTTCTCGTCCTGGCGGTGGACACCACGGAAAAGAGCCTGGCACCATCCTCTGTGCCCCCGCCTTTGGGACATTTGTGCGAATTGATGCGATCCCCTCTGTTCTCCAGACTAAACGCGTCTCCCACGGTCTCTCATAAGGGAGATGCTCCGGACCCCTCGCCATCTTTGTGGCCTCCACCGAACCCTCTCCATCAGCTCGTTGTTTGTCCCTCGGGGCTGTGGAGGCCCGGGGAGGGCTGTGCCCCCCGGCCCCGCCCGGAGCGACCCGCGGCGCTCTGTGCCTTGTCCCAGCTCTGCTGCCATCGCTGTGCCCCTAAGCTGGACACTTCTCCAATGCCTTCAGACCAATCAGTCTTGTGGAAGCCGAGGAAAACCAAAATGCTGCAAACTTTTCTTTTAGCTGAATACATTGCACATCTCATTGTGAATAAATTCACAGCCTAGTTACAGGATGGTTCCAGTCAGGTGCATTGTGGTTCCCCCCGACCCCCCATTTTTCTTTGCTTAGGGCAGTGGCTCTGGGTGGTGTTTCTTTAAAAACAGAAGTTGATGGTAAGTGTTTAGATGAGAGAGATGCTTTGTTGTTACAAAAATTCTGTTACAGAAATACTGAGGTTTATGGGTGATGTGTGTGATGGAATGGGTTCATGCTGACCAAATCTAATGGGACAATTTTTTTCCAGTATCTCATGAGAAACACTTTTAACCTTGTGTTTGCAAGGCACTCTCTAACACCAGATTGAGGGGGTTTTTTTGTGTTAAAACAAACTAAAGTAACTGTAAGTCTAACCCAATCCACTTGTGTATCCTGGTTTGTAGCTTTTAGCCAGAGGTCAGCTTCTTACTATGTTTGTTCTTTGGACATGATGCATTTAGCTGGGAAATGTGTTTAGCACTGAAGTAAAACAGTAACTACTTGATACAATTACTGAAGTGAAGCCCTTCAAAGCTCCTGTTTATTTGATGTGTCAATTTACTGCTAGGAACTTCAATTTACTGGTTTTGAATTGATTTGTTAGTTAAGTTTTCATGAAACACTACTTTTTCTGTTTAAATGAAATATTGTTGTAATAAATGAAGCTGTGTTATTAAAACTAGATTTTTTTCCTTGCTCTTCTTTGCTGTCACTTATAGCTGTCTTAAACTTCAGATAATGACAAAATGTCCTCTAGAGGGAGATCTTGTTGCTTTTATGTACTGAAATGTTGGTCACCTTGTTCCAGTTAAATGTCTTATCACTTATCTTGGGAAGGATCTGTGAATGTGTGTATATTAATAAGTGCCTGTCTTCTGCATCTGTGCTTAGAAATTTAATGACGGAATCTAGAGTCATGTAACACCTCTGTAGGTTATGTGAAACACAGTTGTTTTAATTCAAATAGATCTAATTCTGAAGTTAAATGAATAATCTTTTCAAGTTCCAGATTTCTACTCCTGTATTTGTAGGGCCTACATTTGTGGCGTCCCTGCATTTGTGGTGTCAATTCTGCCAATGCTTGTGGAGATAACTGATGACTTTCATGTGTTCCCTGTTGCCATCAAGATGCTTTTGAGGGCAGTTTCTTTGCTGACCTGAACCAAGAATTTCAGCAGCCTGTCTGAAAGTGTTGTGGGTTAAATCTCTTCAGCATAATGAGTGCTAACAGCTTGGCAAGGAAACAAAGCAGTAATAAAATGTCACATTTAATCCATCATACCAGTACTTCTTGCCTATAAACAGCAGAAGTTGAAATATTACTTTGCAGACACATCAGTTGTTTGAATGTAGTTAACTCTATACTCCACATACTCCATACAAATTGTTGGAAAAATCTTGGTGGGATTTTATGAGGGTGAATTATTATATGGGTGATTTATGAGGGTGAATTATTATATGCATATATAACTGCATGTTACATATGCAGTCTTGACAGGAGATTTCTTTCTCCTGGACACATTGAAAAAAATCTAATTCCACAGTTGAGGCATCTCTGCTCTCATTTTTCTGTAAGTAAATGCAAATAGTGAATTTAGTGTAGCTTCTGGCATATCTGATCTGTAAAACACATGTTCCATATGTGGAGCATGCTCTGTGGATATAGTTGGAAAATTTCCTCATACTGCTAGGCTGCTGAAGGGGTCAGAAATGTGTTTACACTTTAACTGCCAGTTGAACCCCTACACACTTCTTTCAAGTCATCTGTAGTGTTAAGAAACAGATATTGTTAGACTGACTCTAAAAGAGTTGTAGGATTTGTATTATAAATGAACATACAAAACCACTACACAATTAATTAATTTCTTCTCTGTGTGGATGTGATGCTGGAAGTAAGGCAAAGTAATTTGCTGTATTTATATTGTAAGTTTGTTTTCTTTTTCATCCTCATTGTCATTGTTTTGTGGTATGCATATACACCTCTGCAATGCATTAAAAATGTATGCAAAGGGCTTGGAGGCAAATTGTGTTGCTTAATAGAATGTACAGTGTGTTGTAATAGAGGAATAAATTCCATTAATAAACAGAAATAAGAGTCTTTGATTTTTTTTTAAGAAAGGCATATTTATATCCCTAAGTTACTCAGATTGTGGATCCTGTAATTAATTGTGCTCTGAATGATCAATTCTTTATTTTAGATCATAATTTTGGAGGATTGCAGCACTGAGATCTCTGGAGTCTGCTGTGTCTAGCCATAATGAGTTTGGTTGCTTATGAAGATTCAGACTCCGAGACAGAAGCTGAAAAGACTGAAGCCCCTGATGCTTCTGGCAGACAAACAAACCAGCTGAGTTCTTCTGTGAGTTGTGTTCAGCACTTTGCACCTGGTAGTACAGAATCTGCACATGGGATGCACCCTGCTGGCAGCGCTGGCAGGTCTGCCTGGAGCCGGGTTTGTGAAGATCCCCCTGAGCATTATGCACGGAATAGCAACACTGACTTGGCACCTCCCCATTGTCAGAGGGTTTACTCTGGCCCTGCTGCAGTGTCTGTGGCTTACAGAAACTATGAACAGGCTTCAAGCTCTTCAACAAATTCTGGAAATGGCTTTTCCCAGAAGAGGGCACACAACGACAGCACTCCTACCCTAAAAGGAATTAGGCCATATATCCCAAAACGACTGCGTCAAGAAAATTCCAATAAGCCTGAAAAAGAAGAATCTGACCAGAGAGGTAGCTCAGATTGTGATGTTAAGGTAACTGGGCCTGGAGAGCAGGCTTTGAGAAAGACCTCTGAATTAATTAAGCCATATTTAGGATCTAAATATAAAGTAACTGAAGTTCCCAAAAGCTTAATATTTTACATGTCTAAACACAGCGGCCCCATTAATGAAATCCAGTGGTGTCCTGTACTGGAACAAAGTCACTTGCTTCTCTCAGCTTCTATGGACAGAACAGTCAAGGTAATGTAAAGCAAAATGCTTTGTGGCACAATCATCATGTTGTATTAAACAATGCTCTTCTGGAAATAACATCCTTGCTTGTGTGTATTTAACAGTTCAAACGTACTCAGAATTTCAGGAGATGCTTTATAAGATTATTGTAAACTTGCAGCCTAATCCTTCACTATACCCACAATTAGTTCCATTAGCTTAGAATTTGGTGGGCTTTGAAATTTTTTTTTTAATTTTTAAAATTATTTTTCGTTTTTTTTAAATTTTATTTTAGTCATGTCAGTATTTTAGACCTTAAATAGTTAGATCATTTCTCATGATCTCTATCAGTGTTTTGTCACAATGGCCATGAGCACTAGGGTATGCACACGGATTCTGCCATGAGTCATTAAGCAACTAACTGCCAACACTGGAATAATATTTTTAATTATTCTGACAGGCCTGTGTGGCATCTACTGGAGGAGGTAGATCAGGTCAGATGGATTTTGCATCTCAGAACTCTCTTGTCATCTAAGGGGTCTTCTCACTTTAATTTATTTCAAGGGTTAATTGCTCAATACTCAGAGTGAGTTTTCCTCTTACCTTTAATGAATTTGTCTTCAGTTCTTTGGTAATTTAGTCAGTCCAATGAGGCTTTTATTTTTAAAATGGGTAATGGGTATATGCTTTCCCAGCTGCTTGTGCCTCTGGGTTCAGATAATAGTCTTCTGAAGTGGCCTTGCACAGGAACATACCTTTGATGAGAGTGCACAGTGTCCTTTCTGGTGGGAGACATGCTTTATTGCATCTAACACGTATTTACCATGGCAGGCACAATTATTTTCCTGCTTCTAAAATTTAGGACTTCAGTAAATCTTAAGAAGAACATCCCTTGTATCAGAACAGCAACATACTTCCTCCATCTTCTTTACCAGGATTTTGAAACCTCTTTTTTTTTTAAACATTAAATGTAGGAAAAAAAGTACCTTTGTTTCTCCTTGCAAGTCGTCTTTAGTATATTTGTTATATCTTGGCTTTTTCTTGAAGAACAGACCTTGAAGGAAAAGGCTAAGATATGCAAAAAGTGCTGATGGGTGTTTCTGTTAAGCAGCAATGTAAATTTAGATTGTACAATACTGACCCCTGGATGTCTGAATTTGACCTTTAGTTCTTAAATTGTCACATCATCTGCTTAATGTTTGTTGACTATTCCAGAGCCTCATTTGTACTGACGAGTGAAGTTATGGATGTGTTGAATTTGGTATAAAAATCTAAAATCTGAGTTGTTGCTGCAATATAAAATTATTAAAAAGTTGAAATAATGGCCAGTCTGGCTTGTCTTCTGAGCATAAAGAAAAATTATTTTTTCTGAATCAGTGTTACCAAGCCTGCTTGGAATCAGTCATTAACAGTAAAGCCAGTTTTTGAAGAAATCTGACTATTTTAGTTCCCCCAAACCTTGGAAATTCAATATAAATGAAGTATACTAGTGCTGGCTACACTTCAGAGCACGCAGGTCTAAAAAATTCATGCAGGAATACCGTAGCTCTTAGGAAGTCTGTGCAAGCTCACGTTGTGTTCTGGGGGGGCAGCTCGCAGGGAGCAGCAGCTCTGGATGCTGAGGATGCTGAGGATGCTGAGGATGCTGTGGATGCTGAGGATGCTGTGGATGGTGAGGATGCTGTGGATGCTGAGGATGCTGTGGATGCTGAGGATGCTGTGTCTCAGGGAACCACTGTCTGTCCTGGGCAGCAGAGGGCGCGGTGACACCGAGGATTCGAGGATTCACTGGGTATTCGGCTCCCAGATTCTCTCCCTTTCTGGGATCACGAGCACATAAATCCCTGGTGACTGTGGCAGCACTGCTTTACCTTCTGGGAGTTGATTTTGGCTGTCTGCTGTTGCCTGAAGTTGTCAATTTTCTGGTATAGGCATAAAACAACCGATTGAAAATGCAGGTCAACTCTTTTTTTTTCCTCATCCTTTTAACTTCACACAGATTGTATATTTTTTTGCCCCAAAAAACACCTGCTTGGAACTGCTCATTTAAATCCAGGGAGTGAATATGTGTCCTCTTTCCCTTTTTGGGAATATGCAGACACTCAGGATGTTTGCATGATTTACTTTCAACATCTGATCTGGGTGAAACTCAAAGCACACTTAAAAGCCTAAAATCTCTGTATGATCAGAGAGAAGAGGCAATACAGACCTTAGAAACTCTGTACTTTCAGTTAGTCACAGGAATAACTGTGACTGTTTTTAAGAGTAAATGTCTTGGATTCAGTCCTTACACCCAGCCTATGCATTAAGACATTTATATTTTGAAGAGTCCATTATTAGTGGGTATTTCTCAGAATGGAGTGTTCAAAGTTGAGATGACTGTGGTAGCTTAAATGGTGCTTGAACCAGAGCTCTTACTCAGTTTGTATATTTTGTCTGTTCTTATAATTTCCTCTTAATAACTTCCTCTTTCCTCATAAACTAAGAATTTTCCTTTGTGGAAAAGGATTTTATTTTTAAAAATTTTTTAAACTTGGCATAGAGAAGGAAGAAACACTTGCTTTACTTACCTTAGTGATCATAATTTTTTTTATTTCTGTCTAAATTGTGATGACTAAGTCATTCATATCACACAGATGAATGTGTATATGGAACTGATTATGTGGGGGTTTTTTTAAGTATGTGTATGTATCCTGTTTAGATCAGGAGAAAAGTACAGTCTTCCATTTATGTTCTCTTGGGTTGAAAAGTGCACTTTGACACCTTTATGAATCAATGTGAGTCGTGCTAAAGTATTTACAGTAAATGAGTTGATGTTTTCATTTTCTGTTTCTGTCTTCCAGTTGTAGAGCTGGAAGATCACCGTAAGCATCTAGTAAAAATAACTTGCATAATGAGGAATGAATGAACTGTGTTAGAGCATTTTATGGTTTTCTTTAGAAGTATTTGATCTGATTTCTTTTGTATTGCTGCATTTAGAACACTTCAAGTGGTGAAGTTGGAAAAAGTGTCAGTTTTCAGCTCAGGGGCAGAATTCTTTAGAGTAACACTCGTGCCAGCAGATGGGGCACCTCAGTGTGTTAGAAAGGAGTGGGAACTAAACTGCCTGTGAATGAAGACTCAAAGATTTTAATATTTGCCTCTATGTTGTGTGTTGAAAGACCCAAATTACAAGTTTATGCATGTGTTACTAAATGTGTAAGAAAACCCCTGAGTTTTTGGAGAGACCTGAAAATAAGATAGAGCTCCATCTGGGAAGTGATAGGTATTGCAAATTACCCACAGTTCTTCAAATCTGGAGCATTAATAGAAGAATATTTCATGCTAAATTTTGAATTTGTAGGGAAGGAGGAGCTCTTGGTGGGGCAGTGCTGCTCTTCACAGTTGCACTGTAACACTATTGTGAGTAGCTTGTTGTTTTAGCTTAGGTATGGATTTTAAGTACTGTGAAACATTGTCTGAACTGGTTAAATTTGCTTTCTTTGAATAACCCTTCTCTACCTTCTGTTTGAATAGCTGCTGTAAATGAATTTTGGGCATCTACTGCCATTTTTTGGATTTTCCTACTTAAACACCAAAATAGTGTTAATTATTATCTCATCTACTGGGTTTTTTTTTGCATAAATTTTGAGACTTATCACGGCTGTTAAAGGTGCCTGGTTCCCATAGTGTGGATATTCAATGCTTTCTGAACATCAGACCTTGTTTAGGTATTTCTGGATTAGAACCCCAAATACAGAATCACAGATTGTCATTGAATACAGTTTTTTGTCTTTGGTAGCAGACAACATTAAAAAGTTGTGTCTTTATCAATTGCAGAAACCACAATGCTGAATTCACATTGTCAGTGTCTTTTATTTTGAAGATCTTGTCATTACACAGAGCTACACAGATGTTAACATTTTCACTAGTTATTGGTGCTGGACTTAGCTTTTTAACAATTGTTCATAACTTCAGCATCCTATGCTTTTGTTCTGTATTTCCTAGTTTACCTTTAAATTAACTCAAGGTAACATCTTTATATAATCATCTGCTAGCTCTTAATTTTGTGTTTCTCATATTTTATTTAGAGCATCACAGCAGGTGTTATGTTTGTTGCAGAGGATTTCTTAATTTTCAGCACTTTCACTCCATTGTTAAACAAGATCAAGGAAAGAAAGTGCTACAATTCTTGAGTATGCAAAATGTATATTAATAGTCCTTTGTGTTCTAATACATTGTTGCAAGTTTTTCTTATATATTTTGTTCCCTACTGGCTTAGCTGAATAGTCATTTAGTCACAGCTCTATCAATACAAGTAAAGTAAAAGTTTTTTAAATGAGTTTAATAATGTAAGCCTCTTGAACAGGGGCATTGCTGACTTTCCATGATTAAGAGCATAACAACCATCCTGGTTCAGACCAGGAGTCAGTCTCTAAGTGGATGAGTAAAGAAGAACAAGTCAAAGGTTTGTGTTGCCTTTAAGTCCCCTTCTGGTCTGTGCTTATTTTCAAGTTGGGATTTCTGAGCTCCTAAGCAGTTAATCTTTGTAACTTGCTACCTGAAGAGATTTCTTCCAGATACTTCTCCATTCTTCTGAGACTCTTTTGTGATCATTAGATTTAGAGTGGTATGTTACTCATACTCATTAAATTTAATGTATGGATTTTGGTTCCTGGAGTGTGTCAAATGCCACAAGAAATACAATTTTCAATTATACTTTCAAAGTATTTTATTATTTTGTGATTTTGTCTCTGTTAGGAGAAAGATAGCACAGTAGTATATTCCAGGAATTTTGTTATTCCTTATCCTGTTGTATTGGGCTGAATGATAGAAGGTGATAGCCTCAATCCATAAACTGTGTGTGGCACAGGTAGTGACAACACAAATTTCCTAGATATTGGCCATTACCCTGTCTCAGAGTAACAAAACCTAATGTTTTTGCTTTCAACCATTCTGTACACAATGCACTTGGAATAGGTAGTGTTTCTTGTTGTTCTGTCACAGGTGTGTCTGTTTATTAAGGAATAAATTTAAGCTGCCAGCATATT